GGCACCCTCGAGGAAGTGTCTATACTCCTCGAGTGCGCGGATGATCGTGAGGCATCTCCTTGTCGTGGATTTCGTAGTTGCGCTGGACATCATTTAAGCTTTTGGAATAGAATGCTACAGGGTGCCACTTCCCGTCCGGGGCGGATTGTGAAAGAACCGCCCCGTCGCATAATCAGAGCTGTCCGCCTCGAGTCGGAAAGGCCGTGCGTCGTCCGGAATCGCCAGGACCGGTTCCGAGGTGACCGCGTCCTTGATCGCTTGGAACGCGGAGGCCTCCGCGTCGCCCCAAAGTCCATTGCTGGTCCTTCTTGGTGAGCGCAAAGAGAGGACGCGCGAGGGCCGAGAAGTCGCGAATGAACCTGCGGTAGAAATTAGCGAACCCAAGGAACTGCTGAACATCCTTCTTGTTTTCCGGAGTCGGCCAGGCGGAGACGCCTGCGACCTTGACGGGGTCCATTTCGACGTGGTTGTGGGAGATGATGACTCCGAGGTATTCGATTGACGATTTTTCGAAGTCGCACTTCTCCGCTCGGAGGTACAACTTATGCTCTCGGAGTCGGCGCAAGACCTCCTGGACGATCTGTCGGTGTTTCCGGAGGTCGGAATGGGCGATCAGGATGTCGTCCAGGTAGATCATGACGTCTCCGGAAAGGATGAGGTCCTGGAAAATGTCATTCATCATCGTTTGGAACGTCGCAGGAGAGTTTGTCAGGCCGAAGTACATCACCAAGGGCTCGAACAGGCCTCGGTTAGTCCGGAAAGCTGCCTTCCACTCATCACCTTCTTTGATCCGGACGTTGTTGAAGCCCCAACGAACGTCGAGTTTGGTGAAGTAACGAGCGCCTTTGAGCCGGTTGATGAGGTCGTTGATCAGCGGAAGGGGGTACCGGTTTTTGACGGTCATCGCGTTGAGGGCCCGATAGTCCTGGACAAAGCGGAGTCCGCCGTCCTTCTTCTTGACGAAGAAGACCGGAGACGCCATCGGAGACTTGGAGGGGCGAATCCGGCCCGTCGACAGCCCTTCCTCGATGAACGCGTCGAGCTCGCGTTGCTCAAGGGGCGAGATGGGGTACACCTTGCAGTTGGCCGGCTTAGCGTCGGGGACGAGTTCGATGGCGTGGTCCCAGGTTCTCCGTTCCGGGAGCGTGTCGAAAGACTCCTTGTTGAAGACGTCCTGGAACTCTTTAGCCCAGTCCGGGATCTCGGAGGGCGGGGGGAGCGGAGTTCCTGGCGAAGGCTTCAGCCAGGCGCTGCGAGACAGTACTGCCAGCGCGTATCTCCTCCGAGGGACGGAACGAGGTGTAGAAGATGCGGTCACCATCTTCAAGCTGACCATCGTCATCGTCGTCGTCAGAGTCCGGCGTCAGATCAGGCAGGCCGGAGTCGTCACCGGAGACGGAATCCTCTCCGTCGTCAGACCCAGAAAGGTCCATGGCGCAGACCGAGGGGAACGGGCCGGAGCGGAGTCGCTTCTGGAGCAGCCGGAGTCGCCGTAGCTCAGTCCGTTCAACGCGTTCTTCCTCGCGGCAAGTGGAGCAGCCGCGGGGGCACCGCGTCATCTTGACCTCCTTGGTTTCCCAATCGATCTCTGGGTTATGCTTCCGCAGCCAAGAGTACCCCAGGATGAGGTCTTGTTTACCGAGATGGGTGACGGCGAGTTGAACGCGCTCGGAATGGCCTTTGTAGCGTAGGACCAAGTCCGCGATCTGGTTGATGGAGCCAGCATCATTCGGAGTGCCATCGACGTTGAAGACCGGAATCGGCTGCGCCAGGGTGCGGACCGGAATGCCATTCCGAGCGACGTAGTTCGTGTCGATGAAGTCGGAGGTGGCACCACAGTCAACAAGCCCAGAAAGGGAGAGCTTCAACGCACTGGTGGTGGACTCTAGCTCCAACGGGAGGTGGAGGGAGTTTACTCCAGGGGAGGCAGCGACAGTGTACTGCTTGGGCAATTTCTTTTCCCAGGCAGTGAGGCGGCGAAGGACGACAACCGGAGTCGCGGGCGGAGTCGGAGACGGAGTCGAAATGGGGGGGAGGGGAGGTATGTCTTTCGTTTCAGGCTCGTTGTAGGGCAAAGGAATTGATTCGTCATACAAACAAGCGAAAACGATTTATGGACGCGAACGAGGGCACACCAGTCACTCGTCGCGGGGACAAAATCCTCTCCGGCCATCGACTCCGCAGCTGTCTCCGGCAGCGCAGCTGTGTCCGAGTAGCGGGCGATCAACTCCGCTAACATCTCGTCACCGAAGTTGTTGGATCACCTCGTCGAGGATGTCCATTGAGCGGACGTCCGCGGGGGAGGGGGCAATCCCGGGCGAGATGGTTTGGGTCGCCGCACCTGAAGCAGGCGCGACGAGGGGCACCCCGAGCCCTAGTGCGATCCAACTCCATGGGGACGGGAGCTGGAGGCGCCGGAGCGGGGGCGCGGGCCGCGGGTGGCACGACCGGAGCCACCGGGCGGAAAGGGGCCGGAGCCGGGATGCGGTTGACCGGAAACGGAGTCCGAATCAAACCGCCAGGCGTCTTGGGGGCGGCTGACTTGATCAGCTTGGCCCGGACCAGGGCCTCGTATTGACGGAAGGCCCGGGTGCGCCAGCTAAGGTAGTCCCGGAGGTCCGGGGGGTCGTTCGAGGACGTGATTCCGTTGTTGATCAAGGGGTCAAGTCCGTGGCGGAACTTGGTCACCTTGACCAACGCGTCTTCGAATCCGGCGAGGTCCATCAGGTCCTCGAAGTCGTCGGTGTACTGGTAGACATCCTTTGTGCCCATGTGATAGGCGGAAGTCTCCAGTTTGGAGAGAGCATGATCTTGCTCGTTCTCCTCAACGAACCGGAGTCGAAACTCGGAAACGAACGAGCCCCAGGACGGAAACGGAAACGGGGCTTTGCTTCCGTGGCGCTCCGCCCATTGCTGAGCGGGTCCTTCTGCCATAAACGACATGGCATAGCGGACGGCCTTTTCTCTCACTCGCCTCTCCGTTGACCACAAAGGCCTCAGGGGCAAGGCGGGCGTAGGTGCGGACCGCGTAAAGGAACGCGCGGCCGCGTTTCCGATCGCCGTTGAAGGTGAACGGAGGGTTTGGTCGCAAGACCAATTTTGAGGCGAGGTTGATGTCGCCAAAGAGGGCTTCGGAATCGCCCTGAACCGGAGTCGGAGTCGGAATCGACGTCTCCGGGGGTGGTGTTGTTTGGGGTCCGCCAGCAGTATTAGCGGCGGCAGCGGCAGCGGAAGCCTGGGTGGTGAGAAGAGTAAGGGCCTCAGTTAGGCGGTCGATTTTCGCCTCGAGTGCATCCAGCCGAGTGTCAGCGTCAGGAGTAGCTCCGGAAGGCATGACAGGTGCGGGACGACAGGAGTGACAGAGGAGGAGGGGACAAGTGGTAGGGGCGGTGACGAGGGCGGAACGGACTCGTATTCCGAGCCTGAGTCAGCGCCGAACCTAGCAATCTTGTCCGGTTGATCCCGTAGAGAGTTTCTTCTGCTGTAAGGGCAACCCCGGAGGCCTGAGATCAAGGTCCTAGCAGGGGAGGATCCAAAGAGTGAATAGAAGTAAGCAAATACAAGTGAGGCTGACCTAGCAGGGGAGGATCCAAAGAGAAGAAACTCTAAGGGTCCGCCTGCTAGGTAGCGGAACTATATACTGCGCTCTTGACGCGCCAAGGTTGATCGTTGCTCCGTGCAGTATGCCTGCGCCATGTCGCAGGCCAGGTCCCAGGGGGATCGCCAGGCGGGGGGCGGCGATGCGCCTGACGGAGGCGGTGATGCGATCACCGGAGTCGGAACCGGAGTCGGACCGGAATCGGGATCGTCTCCGAGGGGCCGAAAGGGAGGTTCCCCTGACAACAGCCGCCAACCTGGGATGAACGAGAGCGCGCTTTGCGCTTCGTTACTGTGTGTCTGGGATGGGATAGAAGTAAACGTGTGCGCGCATAGCGCAGCGTGTTAACTCGTGGCTAATCTGCTCGTCAACTTCAATTTCAACATCTCTCCGTCCCGACCAGGTTTGACCCGAGAGTTTTCCTTCAATCAGCTGTCCAAGTCCCTCCCAAGTCCAGGGTCACGATTGCGGGGTTTCCACGGTGGACAGGTGTGGTGACGGATGAGATGGACGACATTCATGCCATGAATTGGGCAAGTACATGAGATTTTTGTATCGGCCTATACGGGCGAACAGGCCCTTCAAAATGCACTACTTTCCATCCTAATCCATTGAGAATTGAGGGAGAAATCGTGGATTTTCAATTACAGGTACGCATTTCAATTCTGATGCCCACCCATAGTACCGTTCTGTTAACCGAGACCAAGAGACAAGTTTTGACGGCTTTGCGAGCCTTGGATGATATTCATTGTGCACGGCAGACTCTGTCCATTTTGGCAACGCAGCTGGTTAGTCTAGATCCGAATGCTTACTGACCGCCAATGTCTCCATATACCACTGTTCAACCAGCCTTTCGTCTGATCCAAGGCAACCAGTCTTTTTCGACCACAACTTACCTCCGCTGCTCTATCATCCAACTTTCACGCAGGGAAATCCTCCGAGTACAAGCTTCCACCTCTTCGACATCACCTCTGCCTCAACAATCATGGCATGCGTTTGGACCTGAAGCCTTTCCTGAATGCGCGCACTGGCACTATGCAAGTCTAGATCTGAATGCTTACCGACCACCGATGTCCCCCATATACCATTGTTCGACCACCGATGCCATCGTTCAACCAGACCTTTTGCCTGACCCAAGGCAACCGACCTTTTTCGACTACAACTTGCCCCCGCCGTTTCAAGTTTACTATCCAACCTCTCCGATACTTTGTCAACCGCCACCCATGCTTCCTTCGAAACTGCCTCCAATGCCGGTTACAATAACTGAGAAGAAGATTGAAATGCAGGTATGAACTTGACGCCACTCTTATTGTCTTACGTTATTGACAATGGCAAATTTAGTACAACTTACAACAGCAGCTATGTAGCATCACGCAATGTGATGTTTCCACCGCTCTCTCCCATGAGCTATCCTCCTCAGCCTGATTATAGGAACCAAATCCTCAATATGTACGGTGGTGGGACTGGGTTTGGTATGATGGCGCGCGGAAGTCGCCGATTCGAAACCCAAACACCCTCATTTACTAGTAAGATGCTGGACCAGTTTCGTTTGGCACACAAGCTCAATAGTGCCACAAGTGAAGAAATCCAATGCGTATTCGATGAAATCGACCCCGACAATACATTACATCTAATTCAAGATGTTTTCGGTAATTATGTGAGTTGCTTCAACTTTTGCCGTCCCCAGCTTACGACTCTGCTCACTGCAGGTAATACAGAAGCTACTGGAACATGGTACCCAGGCCCACAAGGACACTCTTGTTGGTGCCATGGAAGGCCATATCATCTATCTATCATCCAATGTCTATGGCTGCCGCTTGCAAAAAGTCAAGTCGACGTCTAACCAACTTACGAATAGCTAACAACAATGAAAGGCTTTTGAATGTGTAACTCCGGAGCAGCAAGTCAAGTTTGTTCAAGAACTCGAGCCCCATATTCTCAGATGTGCCAAAGACTCGAACGGGAATCACGTAGGTGATCTACCTGAGGCTGGGGAATGAACATGACTCATTCGCATCAAGGTTATTCAGAAGGTTATCGAACGAGTTTCCCCTGACAGACTTGGTTTCATTTCAACATTCATCGGCCACGCCCATGGGCTTGCTTCTCATCCATTTGGCTGTCATGTCTTGCAACAATGTCTCCGTCACCTTCCTGAACCATACACCCGGCCACTTCTCGATGAACTTACAAGTCATACCGCTAATCTTATGCAAGATCAATTTGGGGTCAGTGCTAGTACTTGCCTTTCTTTTTCCTCTTCAAGTTGGCTTATTGCGTTGGTTGTAGAACTATATCGTCCAGTTCATTCTGGAAAACGGATTGCCTTGCGACCGATCGTCCATTCTTACTCAGCTTCAGCGGGCGTGTGCTAGCAATGGCTTGCCACAAGTTTGCCTCCAACGTCTGTGAGAAGGCGATGATCTTTGGTGACTCAGATGGTCGCAAGGCGATAATCGAAGAACTGATGGGACCGGCTTTGCGACCTGATGGCCTGACACCAATCGGGTTGCTCATGAAGGATCAATACGGCAGTGAGTTTTCCAACTAAGAAGACTGTGATAAGCCCTTCTCACTCGCGATTCAGATTATGTTCTCCAGCGAGCGCTTGCAGTAGCGGAAGGCGAGCAGAAAGAGGCTCTCACCAATGCTATTCGTCCCCAACTGGCCACTATGCGCAAACATGCTGCTTACAGCAAACATCTTGCCTCTAGTGCGATTTTCTTCCACTTCTCATCCTTCTGAAGCTAACTTTTTGATTCAGTCGAACAGGAATTGCGGAAACACGCGCCCAAGCCCGATTGTGTATGTATAAGTTCTTGTCTGAAGAAATAATTGGAGATATATAATTGCATCACACACTGCGAATCCGTTCTTTCTATGTATATCTTGTTTTTATGGCCTCAACGCTCCTAGCATAGTCAAGCAAATACGTGCAAATAGCTGCGTCATAATGGCGATCACGTGTCCGCATTTTTCCCCGCCGTCCCTCAGGCGACCGTCAATATCGTCAGCGACTTGCGCATCACCACTAGGAAGCTCTGAAGACGCTCACAACAGCCAAACAACGTCGTCCGACGGTGACAACACGCTCACAAACCGGCCAACCCCTCAAAAACGCGTCCAACGGTCAATCCAGTCCCCATTTCCATGTAGAATGTAAAGCTGGGACATACACTAATGTGCTTAGGTGCGATTGGACTTGTCATATGTCATCTCATCTGAATTTCCAGGCAGATGCTTTTACCCGTCATCTGGGCCCTGGCTCTTTTTTCTGCTCGTGCTCGCTGTCATCAAGCGTCCTTTCTACGAGAAGGACTACAAGAGCACTTCGGCTCTTAATCGACATCTTTCCAACTGCTCTTCGAAAGCCCAAGGCCAGCAAGAGAATGTGCGGGCTGTCGTTGCCCATGACGCGGATTTGGCAGCTATTCGGGAAGCAGAAGAGGCTGCTCAAGCCCAGATACAAGCTCAATGTGCGTGGCCGTTTTCGCTGTGGCCAATTAACCGCAGGCCATATTTCGAGCGAGGCGGTGCGCTGGATTCGCAGACGGGAGACCAGACATTTACGGATCGACTTTATGGCGAAGAGGCGGGGCAAGAACTGTCTCAGCTGGAGATTGAGCAACTCCAAGGTGCGTAACTGGCTTCTGTGATATATTCCTTTACTTACAGTTTGTAGAAAACAGCGTCAAGATGAACGCGCTCCTCTCGATCTGCGTGGAGAGTTGGAGCGTTACCAGGCGCGGCTAATAGAGGTCAAAGGGGAAATGGACGAGCTGAGAGAAGAGGGACATGTTATTCTTGGAACGTGAACGGCTGCGGCGCGCGAGCTCAAGGAGGCCAATGCAGCATTGGAAAAGTGGGAAGCGGCAGCAAAAGGTGCAGCTCCGCTTGCCCATGGCCAACTTGTCTTTCCATTGTGGTACACGTAGATTTAGTCTTGAAAGGGAGTAGAAGGTATGTATGATGAAGAGAACGAGGAATTATACAATGGAGAAAAGGTATAAGGGGGATTAGGTGTAAAAGGTATGGTGTTGGTCATGGATGAACTGGAAGACGGAGGGTGTCCAGTATAGGCCATGTTTGTTATATCTACAAGAGGTGGACGAGGAAGATGAGTTCATGGTGTGATATCGGCGGGGGGGGGAGTCGTGTCGTTGGTGAAGGAGCGGAATGAGAAGGTGCTGGGGTATTATCCTTGATGTTTTCAGCATTCTCGGATACGGCCGCTGCCCAGCTCAGCGAATCGCGGGTCTGCACGTACATCAGGGTTCTGGTCAAGATGGTTCGTAATGCGCTCTAGGAGCTGCTTGTTCGTGCCGTCCATCGAAATTCCGAGGGCATAGGCAATGGTCTTGAGGTTGTTCTTCTTCCGCCCTGTCAATGCCCCGCGGAAAACCATGCTCGACGCGTTCATCACACGGTCCCTTTCCTCTTCACGTTCCGAGGCCTCCGTTCATCTTCTTTTCGAGATTTCTCTGCCTCTTTTTCCCGCTGCTCAATCGCGTTCCTCGACAAGTCGTAGACCCTCCTCGGAAGTCGAGGGACGAGCCTCAACATTGAGTTTCGGTCGAGCTGATTGCCTACCCTCCTTCGCATTGACACGTTGTTGCATTTGATTGATTTGGGAGCCAGCAAGGGTGACATGAGCACCCAGAAAGCGCGCTTGTCGCCGAGAGACTCCACATACTCACGAGCGATCTTTGCTCGTTTGGCTGGCGGTGCACTTGCAAAGTCCATTGGAGTGGAGCGACGGGTACCGCGGCGAGATGAAGGGCATGGAGTTACTAAGGATAGGATGGTAAGAGTGGGAAGTGCAATCCGTGGGGTCCGAGAGAGAAGCTGGGGCCGAGGAAAGATGGAAGGGTCGATGTAACTCGATGTTTTCAATGTTTTCGGCAGTGTAGGGCGTAGTCTTGATGATAGATATAGACGTCAGCGAAGGTACCATCCTTGAGCTTGATAGCAAAAGGATGGCCCGAGGCCAACGACAGATCGGGGTATTCCTTGCCGCGACCAGGGAGGGCCAAGGGAATCAAGGGAGAATGCGGCAGAGAGTTGGCGGAGAAGACGAGCGGTTGGATGGCGGGCAAATCGAACGAGGGGGCAAGTCGTTCTGGCGATGACGTAGGTCAGAATTTAATCGCAACTCTCGGCCCTAGCGTTGCTCCTAATTGTTCCATGTTTGCGATCGTCAGGAAGGGTCAGGCAGGAAGCGTTCTGCCAATTCAGATGCCTTGCAAGCATTTCGATGTGTTTGCGGTCCATCCGCATTGAAGGGAGCTAGCTTTTCTTTTCTAGCGCGTTGAGCCCAAATTAGGGTCAGCGGACTGTCTGAGACGGCGAAAAGAGCGTCGTATGAGCTCCTGTTACAGCTTGGACGACTTCCGCCTTCCATGCCTCGCGTATTTTGTTGACGCAGAGCGCAGTCAACAAAACGCAAGACTTGCCACACCACGGATAGCGCAGAGCGCGCCCAACAGTGGTGGTGGTGGCGGTCTTGGGAAGAAAAGCGTGACGTGACTGATGTCGTCACCGCGGATCATAAACCGCGGCCATCCTTCGAGCGCGTTTTGCGCTTCCTTGCAACTCATTTAGGTATCGCGTCCAGTCGTTGTTGACCGCGCTCTGCGTCCCGCGAACCACTGAGTCTACTCCTCCCTTACCCTAGCCAAATTCCATTGCCGCGCTTTCAACTTTCCTCCCTCGTTTGTCAATGAGTGTCCGCGGCTGCCCCACATCTTCCTCCAGGACCGAATATTCTCGGCCTGCGCCGCCTGGAGAACGCGGTATTACGTCCTCTCTTCTATGGGTTCGTCAAAAAGACCAAGTTGAGGAAATTCTGTGGTTTGGGACCCAGAAAGGTTTTGTTTGTGCTTGGCGTTGCTACCAAGGGGTGCGTTCGCAGTGATTCCATTAACTTGACTGACTCAAGAGTCCTTGACAGAAATTTGAAGAAGTATTCACAATGGCACTGGAGGGGTCCGCCGAAATCACTTGCCTCGCTTACGATTCCGTCAACAATCGTTTAGCCTTGGGAACTCGACGCAACCGCGTTCAATCTTGGTCTATCAGCGCGCCGAAAGAGAAAGTGCGCTGGACAGCCGAGTTGATTTTCGACGTCGAACTTGATAGCCCAGGGGCTATCGATTTCCACAGGAACATGCAAGAGCCGGACCGGCTCATATACGTCTATATCTCTGAAAGCCCTGGCCGGCGTGTACGCCAATTTCAGAAGATGGTCTATTCCAACTGACTTTCTGAATAGTTGGACGTTGAACGGGGAAGATGGTACCGTTCGAAGCAGTTGGGATGCGGGGGCCGGAATGTAAGTTATTACTTGCTAATTGATCAGAACTGGAGCGCCGCGTTTAGTGGATTCCTCGCTCCAAACGTGGACCAGGGCGTGTTTGGGCTTGGAGACATGCAATCCGGACCAGCCATCTACCGATATCGTGATAATGTTCGCACTCAAACCCTTGATGTTCCTCACCGACGCGAGTGGCTGCGACCCTTGCAGTTCCGTTGGGCCGATCGTGGCACCACGATCGTATCTGGAAGCGACCACGGTGATATATATATATTTGACTATCAAACAGGTGAAAGGCAGCAGAAGGTTCAAGTCAGCACAGATGGCGAATGGGTCCAGGCCGTTGCAGTGAGTATTTATCTCAATGAACTCCCACAATTGTCTGAGGTCCTCCCAAGGTTGCCGAGATTGAAGAGATTTCCACCATTTTTGCTGCCCAAAGTCGTATGACAGAAGGCAAAGAAGACATTGTCGTCTACAAACGGTTACGGGCAGTAGGGTGGAATCTGTTCATGGAACGGATATTTTGGCCTCTGATGGTGTTGGGATTCATGATATTCTTTATGCAGAACTTCGTCATGCCTTTGATGCCAGCCGGAGGCCAGGCGACAGCACACCGCGGACAATACAAGGAAACTCAGGCCAAGGAGACGGCGGCCGAACAAACGGTGTGGAGAAGGGCGCACGCCACACACCACAGACAATACAGGAAGGAAAGCCAACCTAAGCAGACAGCAGCTAAGGAGCCGGTGCGGGGAAAGTCGTACGCGACCGTTATCCGCATGTAGGGCTATAAGCGAGCCTGATCCGCGGTCACGAGGTCAGCCACATCACACTTTTCTTCCGAAGACCACCACCGCTGTTGGGCGCGCTCTGCGCTATCCGTGGTGTGGCAAGTCTTGCGTTTTGTCGACCGCGCTCTGCGTCGACAGAATGCGCGAGGTATGGAAGGCGGAAGTCGAGCTGTAACAGGAGCTCATACAACGCTCTTTTCGCCGTCTCAGACCAGTCCGCTGACCCTAATTTGGGCTCAACGCGCTAGAAAAGAAAAGCTAACTCCCTTCAATGCCGATGGACCACAAACATATCGAAAGGCATCTGAACTGGCAGAACGCTTCCTGCCTGACCCTTCCTGCCTGACCCTTCCTGACGATCGCAAACGTGGAACGATTAGGAGCAACGCTAGGGCCGAGAGTTGCGATTAAATTCTGACCTACGTCATCGCCAGAACGACTTGCCCCCTCGTTCGATTTGCCCGCCATCCAACCGCGCTCGTCTTCTCCGCCAACTCTCTGCCGCATTCTCCCTTGATTCCCTTGGCCCTCCCTGGTCGCGGCAAGGAATACCCCGATCTGTCGTTGGCCCCGGGCCGTCCTTTTGCTATCAAGCTCAAGGATGGTACCTTCGCTGACGTCTACATCTATCATCAAGA